GAAAGAGTGAGAAGTTACTCCCCAGAGGGGATGGCCCTGCTGCAACCCTTTCTCCTCCACTCTTCCCTGGGGACTTTGGGAGCACACACGTGCCTGGCTTGTTTTCTAAGCCAGTTAACTCTCACTGTCCGCCACGTGGATCCAGGGCATTAATCACAGTCACCTGCTGGTCCCCCGTGGTGAACTTTTTAAAGTCTCCTCCTACTACCTGGTATTCCTCTAGCTGAAGAGGAGCCTCCCAACCCCTCGTGCTGTGCAGAGCACCCACTGCTCTGAGGAGATGAGGCAGTCAGAGCACTGCATGCAACACCCACGACCTGCACGGCACTTACCGAGGACTCGCTGTCCCTGATGAGGAAGTCGCCCTCCACGCCCCGCTCATTGAGGGCGCACTCGGCCTGGTGGCGTGTCACATTGCCATAGTACCACTCGCGGCCTGCGAAGCGCCCGCTGGATGAGGGCCCGGTGTAGCTGATCTGCGGGGCGTGGCCGGGGTGGCCGGGGTGCAGGGCTGGCCCGTCACTGAGGACCACCACGTAGTTTTTGGGGACCAGGCCCACCTGGCCCCGTGTATTTTTGCATTTCCACCACTCCGGGTCGTTCTCGGGTTTCTCGATCACCTCCATGGTCTCTCCCTTCTCGAAGTTGAGCTCCTCTTCCGTGACGGAGCTGAAAGGGTAGAGCGTCTGGACCACGTGCAGCACCCGCGCGCCCTGGCCGTTGCTCACCGAGGCGCCCTTCCGCAGGCTCAGGAAGCTCGGGGACTCGGCGGCCGCCTCGTCCACCTCCTCCAGGACGTAGTTGGACGGGAACCAGCCTATCTGCCCGTTGTAGCTGCCCCGCCACCAGCCGTCGCTGCACTTCTCCATGACGGTGACGCGCGAGCCCTTCACTAGCGACAGCTCATCCTCCCTCTCGGCCACGTAGGCGAACTTGACGTAGGCGGGGGGGTTGAGGTCGTAGATGCGGTCGGCGCCGCCACCGTTGGCCGGGTACTCGGCGTCAGTGCTGGGCGTTGGGGACGCATCGCGCGCGCTCGTCTTCCTGCGGGTCCTGCCGAGGCCTGCGGAGACACAGCAAGGCTCAGTGGGCACATGGGCACAGGGCCACCAGCTCCTGTCCCAGCAGGATCTGGGCCTTTCTCTGCAGTAACACACACTGGGGCAAGTCGCCGGAGGCTGCACAGACTCACCACCACCAGAAAATGCAAGGCTGGCCGCTGGGAAGTCGCAGCCAGGTGAGAATTACTAACACTGGTCTCGCGCCTGTGCCCACAAAACACGCCACAGTGTCGGGTAACAAGAGGCGTGCAAAGTTAAGTTTCCTTCCGAAAAGACAATCCATTTTAGAGAATCCCTACCCGTCTGGCAGAAAAATAAAGTATAAAGGCACCGGCAGAATGTCTCCCACATGCTCACTGGGCGGAAGCTGACTGGATGCAGAGACCTTCTCGAGCTCTAAGCTCAGCAGAGTCCCGGCCAGCAGAGCTGGCATGCCCTGCCTCAGCCCCCACCTCCTCACTGCACTAGGGGCTTTCGGTGTCCTCAAGGCTGGCTGGTGACATAATTAGGCTCCTGAACAGAAACCCATACTCCGCCTTTCTCCTCCTGCAGGTGTATTCAGCAGCAGACTAAGCCCACGTTGGACTGTGGTGAGTAGATGAGGAAACGTTAGCTGATGTGTTAAAGCTAAGGTAGAATCTCACACCGTGATTCAGAACCCACGAGTGCGGGACGATCAGGTGACTAGGCTGCACCCCGCCCGTCTGCATGTGGTGGATAAGGGAAGGAAGCAGAGAACTTGAGCGACCAACCCTTGTGAGGGGACATCAGCACATCAGCGGCACACGCGAGTACTGACTCGTAATGGGAAACCTATTTCTTTCTGTGCATGACGAAAAGAACTCTGAAAAGCCCTAAAATAAAAATGCTTTAGCCCCATTAAAAATGTATGGGATTCTGGAACATTCTAAGAGAGAAAAGCACACTGAGCCCCAGAGCTGCGGATGCCCCACTATGGGAAGGGTGGGCCTTGTTCCTCAGCGTTCCTGAGGCAAATGCTCACCCACTATCTCTGCTTCATCCCCTAAGGAGGGGGTGTGGATGACATGGAAGCTGCAACCATCTGTAAAATTTTTCTATCCAAATTGACACCAAAGGACTTACCTTAAAAATTATTAAAAAGTTTATTTATTATTATTCTTTTAAATTTGCTATAGAGCGTGTGCACTTACCAGAGAGACACGAGAGAAAGTGAGAAGGTAAGCCACTAGGTCCAGGACTCAAACCATGGTCAGTCATGTGGGTGTCCAGCACTGTAACCACATCACCTACTGGCCCATGAAAGGACTTTCTTAAGCAGGTTACCTCTCTCTCCTGCTATTCCTTAAATGGGAGTATAAGACAGGGTAGTCCTAGAACTGCTCCTGCCTCTGCTACCTTGCCCAGCAAGGAGGAGGTCAGGAAGATGAAGAGGTCGTGTTACGGTTGTCCTCGTGGTGCCGAGCTGAGCTGCAGCCCAGGGTGAGAGGCAGCTGCCCTGGGATGTGTGCCCACTCAGCACCACGGGAAGTGGGTGGTCACATGGGCTTTCAAGCAAATGCAACAATTCGTTTAAGCTAATGGTATCGCTGACTCTTTGGGCACTGAAGCACATTACTCTTATGCACAGGAAATGTAGAGGAAGCCAGAACTCCAGACCAAGTTATGTGGAGAGCCACATGCACCAAAATGGCTGAAATGACTTTCACACGATGACGACTTCCCTGTTCCAGGAGTAAACAATCCACCCCTAGGCTCCCCAACCTAGCTAACATCCGCAAGCAGCTTCTCAATCAGGTCCTTGACAGCAATCCGCCCCTAAGCTCCGCCTCCTGGTTAACGGCCCCCTGACAAAACAATCAATTACTGGTCTAAAATATATCCTTCATTTACATATTTGGCAACCAATTACCACCCTGCTGTGTATATAAGAATGTTCTCTGGCCCTCAATAAAGAGCGACTGTATACCATTCAGAGCTGTGACACTGTCACACCCGTGTTGTGACGCTGCACTGGTTCCAGACCTCTGCTCTCTCACTCAGGTAGCCTGTTCGATTGTCCCGCGGGCCGGGACAAAGTTAAACATTTAGACTCTGGCTTTGGGTCACTTGCTGTCTGCAAAACCCTGTACCTCTAGATCTGAGAACTCTTCCCTTTCGTGGGATTCGAACGTAGGACAACTCAATTACGCAATGAGAGGGCTCTGTGACAATTAGACAGCACCACAGTCCAGGAGGCAGACACACAAGGAACCATGGCCCTCTCGTCCCAAAGGTGGCAGCGCTGCTGGGCGGGCAGGGAGGATTACAGCCTCATAAAGCAGCAGCGAGGGACAGGCTTCACTGTTAGCTTCACTGGTAACAAGGATTTCAAGAAATCACATTTAGAAATGGAATTTTATCAGACCTCTCCAAACGTGCAGGCCTCAAAAGCTACTTGAGGAGATACCCCTGGAAGAGCAGGTGTTAGCATATTCATTGGGACAGAAAGGTGATAAGATCGGCAGAAAAAAGAATTAGACCTGGGCCATCGCAATAGCAATACGCTGTGAGGACACTTCGCACCTGAGCTGTGAAGGGCAGGGGACTTCAAAAGTTCATGGAATGATAGAATTAAAGGAGAAGTTTGTTTTGATGCACAAGATTTTTGAGATCCATGCACAGATCTTTTGTAACACACATTTTCCATTGACTTTTTTCTGTTTGTTTGTTTTGGAAAGGTTTTTGCTATAGGGCATGTGTGCTCGCCAGAAAGATAGAGAGACAGAAAGCGAGAAATCATCTCCCAGGGGGGATGGCCATGCCGCAATCCCTTTCTCCTCTTGGGATCTTGGGCACGCACGCACACGCGCCCTGTGTGAATTTAAGCAACCGGGTCCGGGACTCGAACTGCGGTCGACTAAATGGGAGTCCAGTGACATAGCCATGATGTCAGCTGCTAGTCCCTCCATTGACTTTTTGAAAACCTGGCCGATGCTACTTCAGGACTTTTTCCAAAACCAAGATGGAGTAAATGAATGAATGAGGCCACTGAGTTCCTGAGACAGGCCGGGCTCCATGCTGGACTTCGGGGAGACTGAGATGAACAAGACAGGCATGCTCTCTGCTGCGGGGAGCTGACACTGCTGTCGAGAGCAGAACGCCCCACTTAGCAGGTGCCATGGCAGTTGGTGGGCTTTGCTATCCTGCGGTCTAGGAAGTCCTGGGCCACTCTGAGGGCTATGCAGGCGACTGACCTGGGAGAGCCGGGTCCTTCCCTCGGAGCTGACTGCTCTGGGTCAGGCACTCAGCACTTCCCCGAGCCCTCACTTCCTTATCCCTGAAACGGGGACATCTCCGGTACAGTACTGCCCCGGCCCAACGAGTGGGGCACACCCGAGGGGGAGCGGGGAGCAGCAGCAGGCTGAGAAAACACAAAGATGCGGACTTATCAGTGGAGGGCAGTGGGGTCGGGCGGTCTTCGCCACGGCATGGAGCTGTGCTCAGGTTCATTCTAGAGCCGAGTCAGGTACTCCCCACTAATGACCGCAGCTGAGGGGCTCCTGGCTCTCCTGGTTCTGAACGAAATCCTCGGGCTGCCCAGACACTAGTTTTTGACTAAAGTGGCTCCC